GAATCAAGACATGTGCAATTTTTTTAGTTTATTTTTTCAAAATAAAGATGACATGGTAAAATTTTAACTTTATGAAGTTGATTTAATTAAATTATTTATTTTTTCTATGATTAAAATGACTGCTTGATATTAAAATATATTAATAATATAATATATTGTAAATTATTGAGAGTATAATAGTAAAATGTTATATTTTTTATCATCGAATATTCAAACAATAAATTTTAGGGTAATTGTGGGGGGTAGCAAAATCATTTTATGTATTTTGCAAAATGTCACCAGTTTTTCAAAATTTCAAATATAGCAAAATATTTGAATTTTTATTTTTTAAATTTTTATTATTCAAATTTTACCCTCATGATATCTGATATACATCAAATCTATATCTGATGTATATCTATATCATATAATATACATCTAACTATATATGATATACATCTGATAATGTACCTCTTATATATTTTTGATATACATCTAATGTATTCCTGATATACATCTGATACACACCTGAATCAGGTTAATATTAAGGTATTCATTCAAACAGTTTAAACTTGTAATCAAGTTAAACCCCCTTAATCCAAATATTACAAAGTTCCCATTTACATTGAATATCAGTGCATCTCATGGGCTCTTTTCAAATATTCGGCGAACTAGATGCACTAATAACTGTAGTGGACATCTCCTAATATTGAACGACAGAAAGTGTCCAAATGATCAATTCTAAAGATTTCTATTTGGGTTAGTGCTGACATCTTGAGAATGTTATCTATTGATTCTAATTTTAAATATTGTTGCATTTTGTATTAAAATACCATATTTCATTCTTTTGTTAAAGTAAAATCAACATTATATTAAATGTAAATTAGATTATCATATCAATAGTATATCAGACAATCATATCAGTGGTATATCAAATAGTCATTTCAGTAGTATATCAAACACTCATATTAGTAGGATATCAGATGCTCATATAAATAGTATATCAAATGTATATAAGATATACATATCAGCAGTATATCACACACTCATATCAGTAGTATATCAGATTTATACTAGATTTAAATCAAATGAAAATCAAAATGTAGAGTTTTTTTTACCATATATCAAGTTGACCTTAAATTTTAATTTAAAAGATTTAGAATCATTTTATTTCCATTTCCATATGAAATCATTTTCTATCCATTCAGACACCAAACCAAGGGGAAATTGACAGATTTGACCCAAAAATAGTTCTCAATTTGCTCAAACGACCTAAAATCTAATTTTTAACTTTTCTGACCCAATTTACTTTTTCTGATAGTTTAGAAAGTGGGTAAAGGTGGACATGCCCTTCACTTTTGACAGAAGAAAGGACGAGTACCGCTTGAAGTTAATTAATTCACGGCCAGGGTTGAAATGCTACACGGCTGGGATTTAATTTCTTTACAACCAATGTATTTATTTCCCCCACCAAATTGTTGTACTTTCATTAAACACATTTTGTACTTTCATTAAACACATTCTCCTACATTTGAACTGATATCAGAGAAAAAAAGACCTTCCTTTTTCAATCCTTATTATCCTTATTCACATGTTGCACGTTTTTTTGAAGAAATCCCACACCTTTTGCAACATTTTTAACACCTTCAACACTTCAAAGAAAGCTATTTCTTCATTTTCGATAGGTTCAAGAGGTTAGTTTTTTATTTGTTCAGAGTACTATTTTTTATGCATTATGAAGGTTAATGTTATGGAAAATGAAGAAACTTTTATATAATGGTTGATTCCCGGTCGTGGTTATACGATTCCAGGTCGTGGTTATAAAATTCCCGACCGTGGTTGTGAGATAATCACTCTAGCCCGTGTTGGAAGTTACCTCGGCCGTGAATGTAAATTAATTTTCTTATATCTTAACTCGGCTGTTTGTATTATTGGACCGGATTTGCAATGTAACTAATTGTTGTGTGATGTAAATTTATGTAGAATGTGTCGAATATTTGTGATCTCCTGTGGCAAGTGGAATAAGGTTGGTACGATGTACATAGGTGGCGTTATGGGTGGTTTTCAAGTTGATGAAATGATAACATTTACCAACCTAGTAAGTGATCTGCACAGACTTACTAGAATTGATCCTGACCAATTTGACATTGTGATACAGTGTGTATATAGATTTGGTTTTCAACACGAAGTCCCAAACTACTGAAGGGATGTGAATCCCGGAGTGGAAGCGGATTTTCGGGATACAAAATCTAGTTTTAAAGAAGAAAAATACAGGGGAAAAACAAACCTTTGAAGAACGATTCTTCAGTAAGTTCCCCTCGAACACTACCATCGGATCTTCCTCGCTATCCTCTTGGGTCTCGGGATCGTGCTTGTGGTAGCACCTTGATAGAAGAGAGGGAGAGTTTGAGAGAATTTTGAGAGAGTATTGTGGGAGTTCTCTTTTCTGTTCTGTATCTCACTTCCTCTTCTGCTTCTCCAACACTTGGAGAGGAAGAAAAAGGGTGACGTGGGGTAACTCCCCACGTCACAACTCCTCCCACTCCCCTGCAATTTTGCAGGGGAGTTAATATTAATAATAATATTAGTAATATTAATATTAATATATATATGTATAATATATAATAATATATATATAATTAATTAATCAAATTAATTAATATAATTAATTATTAATCCAATTAATAATTAATAAATATATATATACATAAATAATTAACACTTAATTATTTATAAAATTAGAATCATATTCTAAAACATTTCTCTCGTATAACCTATAGTTCTAATGTACATCTTATGCACATTATTTTTAACCTATAGTTTTAATATGAATCTTATTCATATTAATTTTATTTGAATCTCATTCAAATAATTTCTCTCATAATATATAGTTTTAATTTATAATTAACTATATATTATAATGTATCAATATACATATAATCCCTTAAGTAATTTGAACAATTCAAATTCTTCCAAAAACTTGATCCTCGTTTTACCCGTTATGAGCTAGCAAAGGGACCTAATGGACCTACAGTTCCGAAGCTCCAACGATGCAAGATTAATCGGTCAAACTCATTGACCGAGTTAATCTAGATTCGTTAACTACGGGTCATTCCACTAAAGACCCGCAATTGCACTCTTCTCACTGCAGAATGTTTTCGTGTCCATGGATATACGACTATTAATGATGAGCCAATCCTTCACGAGTGTTCGTAACTCAAGTTGGGTCAAATTACCGTTTTACCCCTGAGTTACATCTTACACCTTAAACACCACTGCTCCTCTAATGAACAACCCGGTTATGGTCCAACCAATAACCTGAACTCCCTCTCGACCAATGAGAGGGTGGGGCCCCTTGTTCAAGTCCCGGAGTCAGCATTTAAGGAAACACTCATCTACTCCCCTAAAGTCGGGGAGAAGTGAATTCCATCTTGTGAAGTTATGTTCCCAGCTCCCCACTCGGTCTCGTCCCCAAAATGGTAGGAATGTTGAGTCGGCGACTCAGGCCACTCTCACCCATACAGATCAAAGAGCGAGCCCTCACGGGCAGGAGTCCATAACTCACTCAGGATTGAGAATGAGTTGCCTGGTCATCCTAAGAAATGGCAATTTATTTGTTAACGGTGTTACACCTAAAGATTGCCTATTTTGCGGTCCGATCTTATACAAACTCATTGTATAGGATACCCCCACTTGCATGTCTCCACACAAACGACCTGGATCGAGTCGTCTGTAACCTTTACAGAGTGGGCCGTATCCATAGTGTTTCCAGGATAAGGTACCCAGCCTTATCCATATACTATAGACTCTTTAGGTTATTCACGGGACATTATCCATTCATATATCAGGGGTGTATCAAATATATACCCCGTATATCAACTAGATACCCAGTATATATATTATCCCGATTACATCATACATAACCTTGAATGTTTAGTTTATTGGATTTTGGAAAATGCAAAGCTATGATTCAACAACAAATTTATTGAATAAAACTTTATTAAATAGACATGTTTTTACAAAATACAAACTACGAGTTTAGGGCAACACACCCAACAACTACCACATATTTGATGATGTCAGTTGGAGATTTTACTTGAATGGCCCTCCAGGTCCTCCTCAGGTGCCCTTTTATATATTGTCCTGTCGAAAGCAACATATGGTAGTGGTAACAACCGAGGAAATATTTTTTTGGAAACGCAGACATCGTCTTCATTCCCATACTACCCAAGTCAGGCTGATCCTTGTTTTGGCCCGTCACATTCTATTCACTCTCCCTTGGATGATGCTTGTCCTCCCTCATTTGTCTCACGTATTACACTGCTGACCAATAAAGTTGTCCCATGTAATCAAGGCAATGACGAAACACCATATTATGAGGAATTGTACGACAATGATGCCGAGTATGACATTCAGAGCGGCGATGAGTATGACTATGACGAGAATCAAACTAAGGATGGGGTTGATGACGAGGATGTTGGAATGGACTTTCATAACGATGGTGGGAATGAGTATCATAACAATAACTAGGATGTCAACGAATAACATTTTGAGAATGAAGGTCAACCTGTAAATGAGTCGCATCCAGTGAGTGTGAACGCACCTGAGCCCACATTTGAAAGATTAGTTTCCCGTCCAATGTAGAATGTCATAACTGGTGATGTGGCTGAGTCTGTAGGTGAGATTGTTGTTAAGGGTGTTTTCTGTTCGAAGGAAGAACTACGCTTCAGACTGTCTATGTTGGCTGTGAAGCTCAACTTTGAATTTAAGGTAAAAAAATCGACGAATACATTGTACACCGTCGGATGTACGGATGAAGGTTGCAAATGAGGTTTGCGTGGAAAGAACATTTGTGGTTGTGACTCATTCATCATTTCGAAGTTTACCGATGTCCACAACTACAGACGTGAGGTACTGAACCATGACCACAGACAAGCTGAGAGTTGGTGGTCGGTAAGTTATTGAAGTCCAATTTAGAAGATGTAAGCCGTCAGTACAGGCCGAAGGACATTATTAGCGACATGCGAAAGAACTATGAGGTTAACATTAGATATGAAAAGGCATGGCGGGGAAAAGAGGTGGCATTGAATCTGCTTATGGGATCATCCAAAGAGTCATATACTTTGTTACGAAAGTATGGAGAAGCTTTGAAGGCTGTCAACGTAGGAACTATTTTTGAAATGGAGCTGGAAGATGATAAGTATTTCAAGTACGGCTTCATGGCCCTCGGTTGCTATATTAAAGGGTTCTCCAGTTGTATCCGCCCAGTGATAGTAATAGATGGTGCACATATGAAGGGTAAATATAGAGGTATTATCCTTATTGCTTCTTCTGTTGACGGTAACAACCAAATATATCCTCTTGCGTTCGGACTTGTAGATCAGTAGAGTGATCAATCATGGACTTGGTTTCTGCAAATGGTGAAACGTTGTATTAGAGAGGTTGATGGGTTATTATTTGTATCTGACTGGCACATGACCATTACAAAATCCATTAGGGAGGTTTTCCGAACGTGTCCCACGGAATTTGCATGCAGCACTTGTCCACAAATTTAAAGGACAAGTTCAAGAACGATATTATTCAAGAAAATTTCATTCTAGCAGTAAAGACATTCCAGAAGTCAGAGTTTAGGTACTATTTCTCCCAACTTGTAGGATTTCCAGAGGTCCAAAGGTACTTGGAAGGAATCGATTTTGATAAATGGACACGTGCATTTCAATCGGGATTGAGGTACGACCAAATGACATCCGACGTTGCGGAGTCCATGAATGCAGTCCTTGTACATGCACGTGCATTGCCAGTAACCGCACTTCTTGAACTCCATCATACCCATTGACCACCACGAGTTGGAGGTGAGCGATGGACTAAAAAGGGTGTGTGTGAATTTAAATACAATGACTTGTGGATGTAAACAGTTTGACTACTTTTAGTTCCCCTGCTCCCATGCTATTGCAGCGGCAACCCCTCGAAACGTGAACAGGTATACACTATGCTCACCTCCATATAGTCTCCAAAATCTAATTACTGCATATGTCGAACCTGTGTACCTCGGATGATGTAAACGACTGGATTTTACCTAAGGACTTTGTGAAGTTCAAAGGAAGCCACCCAAACTTATAAAACGTGTTGGCCAACGCCAAACTGTACGAATACCGTCCGCTGGGGAGACTCGCCAAGTCCACAAATGTGGTCGATGTGGCAACATGGGACACAATAGAAAAACGTGTTGCCAGCCACTTAGAACTACTGGACGAGACGCTGATGGTGGGTAAAACGTTGTACTCCACTTATAACTATGAACGTGCTTTATTTGCTTATTCAGCACTTTAGTCATTCAATATTCAGTAGAAATTGTTATGGTTGTCTGTCTATGGTAGAAAATGCTTTCTGGAATATTTCACGGGCGTCAATGGATGAATTCATGGCCGGGATTCCACTTACAGCTAAAATTTTGGAAATTTTCTCGACCGTGAATTGTGTCACACACATCTGAGATTTATCTAAGCATGAATTGGTAAGTGTCAATGGACGAATTCATGTGCTTTCTGTAAAATTTCACGGTTGGGAGTTTAATATGTTTCAACCATGAATTGGTCTTAGACTATCCCAACTGCTTAGTGTCACTGATTTCAATCCACCCGTATTCAAACATGTATCCTAATCACAAATATGTGAGTTTGAAGTCACAAACTACCATTAAACAGTCAACACTATCATTCATCAAACATGTTAAGAGATCAAAACATCAGCGTTCGAACGTACCAAACAAAACACGCTAATTAGGTAAGTCATTACAACACCAAAACATCAGAATATGGATTTGTTCGCCCATAGCTGTATCGCGAACTGCTGCCTAAAGAATAACATCCTATCCTGTGTCAAAGTATCTAATCTAGAATCTGTCATATTGTATTCAAAGAACTTTACACAAAATATACCACAGTCAACATCTCCCTCCTAATGTGGTGCGGATGAAACTCTACGTATGTGCCATGGTGTGATTGGGATCTCAGACCTCTTTAACCGAACACCCGCCCTGCAAATAAGAGCCGGTATGATCGTTCGCATCGGCTTCAACTCATCTTCCAAATTCGGCAACAGTGTCATGGCCATGAATGAGTCCCATGGGAAACCGTATAGACTATACATCTTTCTCAATCCCCCATCTTTCGCCTTTCTGACCAGGGCTCGCTTAAGACTTTTTATGGTCTTCTCAAAAGCAATCCCACCCCAATCGTAGTTACAGCATACTTCTAAGTCGTCAACAACACCTAATAGGCTCGTGTCGAATTTCAGAGTCTTCTCCCTACCAAACAACACGAGCTCCACAAAAAATGCCATTGACACCTTCACCGCATCCAAGTCATTTTCAAACTGCAACTGCATGTACTTCGTCTCCAGCTCACTTAGTAAAATGTCAACTTTGTAATTGAAGTACAACGTCCTAAGCCTAACGTGGTAAGTGTTCTTGTGAATTGGCCGTCTACTATACTTTAGGTCTGTGATCAATTGAATTCGCTCAACCCAAAGGATACCCTATTACCAAGCACATCCATGGTAATAACATCGTGTCTACTATTGTCCACTTCCCTAATCAATAGATTGTGTATAAGTGGCCCGTTAAGTACAAGGTCCACATCTAGAAAATGACCAAAAATGATCTTCCTAAACATATTAAGTTGTCTATGTGTTAGTTTACTCTTAATCGACTTCACTATACCCCCTAAGTGGGATAGACAGGTCAGACTGGCAGAGCGATAACTAGAAAAGGGATCTTAGGTACCATTGTCATCCTATAAACATGAGAAACAGTAAGAATACATATATATAAGTGTTGGGTCTGTTGCCCTAAACTCGTAGTTTGTATTTTGTAAAAACAAATGTCTATTTAATAAAGTTTTATTCAATAAATTTGTTGTTGAATCATAGCTTTGCA